ACAATCATTATTTTAACCAACTGTACCAGTGCTTGTTTTAACGTGCTTTTGTTTAGCTGTGCTAATTACGGCCATTTTGTGCTTCCATTACCTTCCATCATTGTTCCGCGGTTTTTAGCTTCGTTCGCACGTACTCCACTTTCCTGTTTTCGCTTGTACAATTTCTTGGCACGATCTTGGTATTCGTTCGATACCACGGGATCGCCAACCTTCGCCTTCTGATTTCTTTGGCACGTGTTTCTTGGTAGCGGTGTTCATAGTCAATTGGGACTCGACACCACGCTACAAATATACAAATTCAAACTTCATTTTCGCATTTGAATTATTTGATTCCGTTATTCACTAACGCCATTTTAGTCGATGATATATACGAGGATATTCAGGATGCATATTTTGGCAACGACCATTCATACGATCTAATATGGGTTAGCTTTTTGGCTATTAAAATTAACTTGCGTGTCACGGTCTTGCTTTGAAGGACAAATCCAGACAACACTGGGGTTAGTTAACAACACGTGGTTCATTTCGAACCTTTCGTGGGGGTTTATTTGCCACAACATTACCCACAACTACAAATGTTCAACCATTTTGTAATACCCTAAAATTAAGTCGTCTCCCTTTCATTATTGTTAATATTCGAATAAAATTCTATTCTTCCTGATGAATCGAAGATGCATATATCTGTAGTGGCATTGGACCATAACCACACAATCCGCAAACATCTAGCTCTATCTAAAAATAACGTGAATATACATCGACTAACAATGCAATCAAGGACTAGATAGTTATCTGGATCTAATTCTTATTGTTCCTTCACTTAACACATCATCCTGTTTTTAAACTATGCACTATCCTGTAATATCTTTCTTCTGACCACTGCCTGCCTAATTTCATATTTTCGAGTTCCATTGCCAAACAACAAGGATGACACTTCTCCAAAAACATACGGTGAGTTTCAGCTATAGGTTTTCTGCAATCATAAGGTCATTATAGATGGCTCGTTCAATAACAACCACACAATTATCTGGATTCATTCGATTGTTCTGATCCGAGCAAGTGGCAAAAACGTCAACAGCATCAAGCACCCTGGAAGTGATTGCCATACTGCATGTTTTATTCTGGATACATTCGGATCATTACTACTCCTCACGAATGACGTTATATATGTCGCCCACTGAATAATATAATTTTCAAAAATGATCCAGGCGAGTTTAACTAATTTAATGGACGATTTTTGTTTTGTACTTAACATGTATATGTTTTCCAGTTGCTTGTGCCATGTATTTGTAAGTGTCTTTAGGCTAAATGCAGGAATTTCTCATGGAAAGTTTATAACGTGTTACATTCCTGCCTGAAGTTTCATAAGCAGTCTTGACTTTAAAATTATTTTCTGGTCATGTTCATTATTTTTAAATTTTGATATATGTCAACAACCTGCATGTTAACCTGGCCCGTACATACGTTTTACTATATCTTCATATCTTTTGAATTTAGAAATCATCTGAATCGCCTTTAACATTTATCAATAAACCCATCATAGTCGTTGTTGCTAATCGTATTTGGGTTTATGGATTGGTTTATCGTATTGGCAGCCTAAAATGCGAACATAGTTCAGATAATAAGATTAAAAATTTAGGTGCTATCAACTATACTAATAAAATAACTAAATCCCTAGGTAGCTGTTGGCTAAACAAACGTTTAAAATCAAAACTCCGTAGCCTACTAGAATTAACACTAAACGAATCTTTCTGAATTAAAATTTATAATTAAATCAGGCGTCTCGGATTCTTTAACGTTACAAATTTCTGATAATTTCGAATCACCTAAAGCAACTATACCTATTTTTCCACTGACTAATCCTCATTCAACACTATAACTAGTCGAATTTAATAGTTTCAGGATATCGTCATAAAGCACTGTTGTAGTGGCTCACATTTATCACGAGAACACGACTGGTTTAATAAAAACAATTATTATTATGACCAACTGTACCAGTGTTTGTTCTAACGTGCTTTTGTTTGACTGTGCTAATGAGAGCTATTTTGTGCTTCCATTCTTTTACTTACACTTTGATTGTAACTTCGCGCGAATCCGGTTACCTTCTGTAACCAAGGTTGTATCCTGGCACGATCTCGGTATCCTTTCGATGCCACGAGATCGCCAGCTAATAAACCTCGACTTGGTCCATTAATTGCCTTCTGGTATTCGGCTTCTCGGGGATTTTATGGAGTCATTTGGAACGAGCTTCTTACGCCTTCTAATTAACTTGGCACGTGTTTCTTGGTAGCGGAGTTCATAGTTAACCTCAACTCGACGCCACGCTACACTGTCATGACTTGACAATCACGTAATATGATTGATAAAATTAATGAAATTATTAACAAAATTGGTCAGCAAATTGACTTATATTTATCACTAGTGTTGTTTTTCATTTATCTTCATTCACTACAGATGATTACAGTATGTTTCCCTATCAGATGCTCACTCAGTAAATATCTCGAAACCTTGTCAGTCTAATTGATGGTTTAGCGACACAATCATGCATGCAAATAATCAGTATAAGCAGTCGAGCAAACCTGTAAACTGAAAACATCAATGTCGAATTTACCCCAACACTGACTAAGGTTCAAGCCATTATCGTAGACATGAGTTGGGAGTGTACTCCCCTTGCTCACAACTTATGTTCTCCCTGATGATCACATGAGCATCACTCACTATTTAATCATCTTGTAAAAACTTATTTAGTCAAATACATCTTGCAGCACCACATCACCTAGGAATATGACACATATGCTTAACTGATTTCAATAACTTATAACCATAATATCTCAATTAACTCGTATTCCGCTTTATGATAAACCGCGTACTTGCAACTAACTTGTATACCCAATCAGCCGGCAAGTATAAACATAAATAAATAGTCTGCCGCAGATCAGAACATTGAGTCTAGAGCATGTCTCTTACGAATGCAATCGTGTTTAACTAATCGCTCTTAGTTATCTGTCCAAAATTCATATAATTATCACTCACGTATTTAAATTTTGTTTTGATATCCCTTCATGTGTATTAGTAGTATTACTAAATTTTATCTCGGTCAAGTAAAAATGAGGTTGAGAAAATCTCCTCGTAACTAAATAAACTGTATCAAACTAACTGGAACACTAGTTGGAACTCTTCTCCACGGTAATACTTTTGTTCCTTCAGTTAGTCTACTAATACAAATGCAATTGAAAATCAACTCATGGACAACTTACTAGCATTAACGTTATTTGATTTTATAATTTAAACCAAAACTAATACCAATATTAACATTTCTACAATATTCATTACTTTAATATTTCTAAACACAAAATACTTACTACCTATACGTTAAGTTATTAACCAACGGCTATTAACATGCATCTTTTTATAATTGTTATTGTAATCCCATTTTTATAGCTCAAATAATCATCACACAACTTCTCATTTTAAGCGTGTTAAGCTTGAAGGCAGATATTTTAAAATTATTACATGTATTTCTCGACCAGGTGCTGCCGCCTTCTTTTTGATTTATCTTTCAGCTTATCAATATCCGGAGGGTTCTACTTATTCTTGGTAACCTCCGGCGCGCGACAATCCCATCCAACTTGGTATCGAACCAATACCACGTTGATTCTGGTGGGAGAGTAGTGTAGTGGCATTGGACAATAACCACACAATCCTCAAAGCCGAACATGAGACAACTCAGAAAATAGATATTCAATATTTAACGCGGAGAAATACCTAACGATGGAGAAGGCGCGAACAATGAGTTGAATGAATTGGAGTTGATCGAATGGCTTGGCTCGGCCATGAAGGCGTGGTCCCTACTGAATGTTACCTTATATCTTTTATTCCGATTAAATATATTGTTCTATCTCTAGCCTAAGCTTGTTTGACATCATGTATTGGTGATCGTTACGATACGATGAGTTGATGTAGACGATGATGTGACTTCCACGTAAGATCTTATAGATTAGGCAGTTATATCATGACGAATCTACAAATTTAGAATTAGGTCTATTATTAGAGCAGCACTAATATCATAGTAGACCATAATTCTACATATCTTTCAGTAGTCGCAACATATATCTGGATTCGTACTAGTCAGTAATTTTAAATACGTACTGTCGGGTTTGAGTGTCACACGTTTTTTTTTACTTGTCCATTTGGTATAGGGAATGAGTTTAATGGGACGACTGGATCGGCTTTTAAATTTATCTTATCTAAATATTTTGTCAAGCAGTGCATTGCACGTTGTGGTAGTCGATGTTCAGGCATACGTAACACGTGGCCCAACCATCTCAGTCGATGAAGATTCATAATCTCATCAACTGATTTACTATCATTCCCTAATACCCTGTGTTTAACCTCACTATTACTTACCCGGTGATCCCAGCAGATGCCAGCAATATTTCTAAGGCATCTGTGGTCAAATACTAATAGCTTACGAGTGTCTTCTACTCTTAGTGGCCATGTTTCGCTGCCGTAAAGTAAAACAGAACGAACTGCCGCGCAGTATACCCGTCCTTTTATTGATAGACGGATATCTCGCCTTCGCCAAAGGTGACGCAAGTTGGCAAAAGCCAAGCGAGCTTTTCGAATCCGTGCTGAGATTTCGTCAGATACCAACCCATTAGGGCTGATCAGACTTCCAAGATAAGTAAAGTTGCCAACGCGATCGACTACTTCACTCCCTATCCTTAGTTCAGGTGTTAACGCAGACCAGTCCTGAAGCAACAACTTGCATTTAGAAGGAGAGAAGCGCATTCCAAACATTCTGGCATTGTTGCTTAGTGCTACCAAAAGACTCTATTTTGTCAGCGTCTTCACCAAACAGGACTATGTCATCTGCGTATTCTAAGTCGATAAGTGGACCTCCTGGATGGAGATCAATACCCGAGAACTCAGTCGACGAGAAAGTATCCATCGTTTCCAACCAAGCAAGTCTATTAACTCGGCTGTGGAAAACATCTAAACGATTAAGATGAGTTATCAGAAGTAATACGAAATATAAGAGCTAAAACGTAAAACTTACACGAAATATAACAAAATCCAACATGTTTAGAATTATCCTTTGCATTTACTGTAAGAATCCAGGTCCCAGCAACACGGGAGGCTATATGTATTAAAGATTATAAGTACTTGTCGTCTTAAATGATTACTTGGCGCTTTCATATGTAATGTAATAGTAAAACCTGAGCTAACTTTCTCAGTTGAATAATATATATCTTGATTATCATTGTCACCAATATTGATTGATACATTATTGTACGTCCAATCAATTGATTCGATCTACATTATCAATACTAAGTTATACATATATTCAGATTTCAAACTTCTATCGGCTTTCGCTCAGCAATCACATTAAAAACTAAATTTACTGGGGTGGTTTTCCTGACGGTTGCTTTCTTATAAGATATTCCATGCGACTGGATGTTCTCAAAGTCAACTTCAAGTTTCACACGGCTTCCACAATCAACTGTAGCAAGATTTTGCAAAAGAAAAATGAAATTGTTGGAAATATACAAACAGCTGAAAGTAGTTTAAGGAGAATGAACAAATGAAGAACAATAAAGTATATTATAGACTAAAATGTTGTTTACATTAGACATCTGAAAAATGTTTAAATGATCATGCAATACTAGTGCATAACTGCCGATTGTTCTGATGTCTGAAGTTTTTGCAACACCATATCTAGATATTCTTAACTGCTTCTGAAGAAGAATTAGTAGAGGCAGATATCTATGTGAGACCTATTTCATTTCACTGGATTAAAAAACAAAAATAATTGATAAGTAGGTAGTGTGTAACTGATCCATGTGTTTCTAAGTGATTTCATAAGCTGAAAAGCCGTACGCCAGTCGGACGTCTCTCAGCTTTGTGTAGTAGAACAATCATGAATTTTGACGATTATCTGTGGCCTAAACTAGGTAGATATATGGAAATCAAATCGACAAAGAACCCAAGATGGTATACATGAAAATTAAAATAGTATTAAGTATGACGTATATATTTGGAGCAAACAGACTAAAACACTTGAACTCTCAAATACAGAACTGCAAACCTGAACACCCCCATTCACTTACTAAGGTTAGGATAAATGGACAAAAACACTAACACCTTTACGCAGTGTAGATGGGGGTTAGTAGAACAACATACCAGATCGTGGTGAATAAACAGGAACAGGAAACTGGTCATATAAAACAGCAGTTAGAAGATAATAATAATAATAATAATAATAATTTATTCTCAAATAACAATTTGTTACATGAGGCATGCCAGTTTACAGGCAAGATCAAATTGATACAAATGATACAATATACACTGTATTAAATTACATAGCTGGGTTGAAAATTTATAAGACATGAATGTAGATTGTTTTAATCAGTATTACAGTTGGCGCGCTCCACGAGAGTTGCGTTGCGAATGTGCGACTGATGGTCAGGAATAGGTCCATTGAAGGTATGAGCTTCTAGGAATCGCAACCTTTTGTCCCTTTGGGATATCCAAGGCTTTAAGGATGGTGCAGGGTGAGGTAACCTGTTCCATATCTTAAGGGGGCTGAAAGACGGAGCAAGTAAAAGAAAACACGAGAGGCAGAGTAGCCAATATTCATGTAGGAATGTTTAAGGTATGATTACTAAGTCTAATTTTCTTTTATTAAGAAAGAGCATTTTAATAGGTTAAAGAAAATAAGCTTTAGCAAGGTGTGAGTGGACATACAACTGACAAATGGAGGCGATTCGGAAAGGGAGCTGAGAGTATAAGATTATGTGTGATTATAAAATAAAATATAGTGCTAGAAACAGTATTGTGATATACAACTGGCTATCTTCCTTTTATTATCGAAGCTATTAGAGTCCCTCTCGTTTTTTTTTTATTTGTTTTTTTCAGGTTTTATAGGGTCTTGAGTGGGCTTCGTATATTAGCGAATTGTCTAGTTTGCTTGTAATAGGATTTCTGAGTAGGAAGTGAAACCAATTCAACGTTCGTAACACGATTTAAAGAGGTATTTTGCGTGATAAATCAGCTTCAATACCATAAGTCCGTGACATCCCACTAAACCATAAGGAGCCGTAATTAAACAAAATGTTCTGCCCTACAGACATGGGTGGATTGAAGTTATCTCCCCACCTTCATGTTTGCTGGTCAGTAACGCCACCCTCCCTCCTTTTGTGATGTTAGGCTCTCTTACGTTTATGGTAAGTATGATTAATTCTTTAATCAAAGCACTTAGTTGGAATACACTGTCTCTACTAGGTCCATGTTACAAGCAAATCAGATATTTAAAAATTCTGTTTTATGGGTTAGATGTCCATATAGTATATCACACTGCTATGAAAGTAACTAATGGTTTAAAGAAGTAAGGATTAATAGTAAATCAAAAGATATGAGTGGGTATAAAATTGTAGAAAAAAAAAGAAAAAGATTTTAGGGTGAGAAAAATAAAACATTGAGAAACTCACAAGACTTTGTGGCCAAATTTCGAGCTTTGAATGATCGGTCTTAGCAGATCAGCATCCATAAGATTGAGCTATCTGTCTACTTGCAGTAGAAAAAAAAAGCATGACTTTTAGGAAGAATAATGTACATTTAGCCTGTAGAGATTTGGGGACTGAAAGCTAGGGTTAGGAGCATGAAATCATGATTAATAAACAATGAATAATAGGAAAGGATAAGCCATATATCCTGTGATTTGCTTATATTCAGATTAGTAACAGTCGAACTTTTTATAATTTTGTTCTTTCTAGATACTAGGCGGTCCGTAATAAAGTGCCTCATCGGTGGGCGGGAGTTCAAGGTAATGTTGAAGCTCTTTGGAGTCTAGAAATAGGGTTATTAGCTTTTTGAATCTGGTAAACGTATCACAGTTACGGATAGGCATTGGCAGCCTGTTCCACAATAAACTGTACCGTACTGTAAAGAACTTACAACGCATTTGTTTTTGGTGTTTTACGGTGTGTAGTGTATATGCGTTGTTTCTAAGTCTATAGGCTGGGTCGTGGGTGATAGTCGGGCAGGACGTAAGAAAGGAGAACCCATATATCGCTTTGTAGAGAAATATTAAATTGTGTTTTAGCCTACGGTGCCATAAAGGTTCTAAAGATAGATGCTTACATCTGTCTGTGTAGTCGAGATTCGAGTTACATCCTAGTAGTTGACGTGTAAAACGTCTTTGAACATCTTCTACTCTTATCTTGTCTGCGATATTCATATTAGAGAAGACAAAAGAGCAGTATTCAAGGGTGGGTCGTACACATATTTTGTAGAGAGTAAGTTTACCCTCTAGTGTGAAAAAGTTTTTCATTATAAAACCAATTAGCCGTCTAGATTTAGAAATAATAGAGGAGGCATGTTCTTCAAAGTTTAGGCTTCCTGTGTAATTAATTCCTAAATCGTGTACTGATTCGAGTGTTTGGACTATACATTCATTTAAGTGAAGTCGCGGTTTATAGGGATGCTTTCCAAAGTGCATGATCCCGCACTTGTTGAGGTTAAATGGTAATTGCCATTTTTCACTCCATATAGTTAAGCTATTGAGGTCCTTTTGGATCAGGGATACACTTTCGCTTAGTGTCTCAGGCTTATAGCTGTATACTATTTTGAGATCATCAGCATATAAGTACGGTTTCCCAAATTCTATGGTGTTACATATATCGTTTATATACATAAGAAACAAAAGTGGCCCTAATACGCTTCCCTGGATGACTCCACTGGTGATTGGTCTAGGGGACGAGAGACAGTCATTGTACTTTACCATCTGTTTACGTTCTGTTAAGAACGAAGCAAACCATGAGTACAGTGGGTTGTGTATTCCGAAGGACTTTAGTTTGATGAGTAGCCTTTTGTGTGGGACCTTATCAAAGGCTTTCTTAAAGTCTAGGAATAGGACTGATACAAGGAGTCCGCTGTCTCGTTTCAGAGTTATATCATTCAGGTAGTCTACTAGGCATGTATCGCATGATCTGGACCTAAGAAATCCATGCTGGGAGGTCGACAAGAGATTGTTAGTTAATAGATGTTGGACTACAGCCGCCTTAACTACTTTTTCCATTACTCTGGATACCACTGAAGTTATGTTTATAGGCCGGTAATTTTCAACGTTTGCTTCAGGTCCTGTTTTAATTTTGGGAATGATATGTGTAGTTTTCCAGGCAGTAGGGTAACACGCTGAAGAGAGTGATATCGCGAATATTTTGAGAAGCAAAACACACATATCATCACCTCCACGTTTTAGCATGCTAGATGGAATACCATCTGGTCCATCAGTGTAGGAGTGTTTCAATGTACTGATTGCTTTGGAGATATTTTGTACACTGAATTCTACATTAGTAATTTCACAGGGAGTTACTGGGATTGGTTCTGAATCATTATATGGTTTTTCGTTAGTTAGTGAGAAACAAAAATGTTCACTGAATAATTCTGTGATAAGTTTGGGATCTTCGTATACTTGTTTGCCTTTAATGAATATACTCCCTCTCGATTTAGAGCGTTTAAGTTTATTTTGGAGTAGTATGGTGAGTGCAGAGGAGTTATTATTAAGTTCAACTGCACGTTTTTCCTGTGCTACTGCTTTTTGTTTACTTATTGCCTCTGTTCGGACAAGTATTTCTGTCATCGTTACTAAAGAGGAAAAGTCATTTAAGTTGTGGAATTGAGTACAATGTCTTTGAAGACGTCTTCTTGTACTGACCGGTATATAGAGATCTTTGGAGGACGTAGGTTTACAGTATTCTAAAGGTGCGATGTTGTTGATGATACTTTTGATGTTGTGATAAAATATATTGGTTAATGTGTCGGTATTGTTTGAGGTAAAGAAAGTTCTCCAATCAGTGCTTCTTAGGTAATTGTGGAAGTTATTCCAATCAACCTTGCGATAGTTTCTACGAAGTGTTACGGTTTTACTTCTATCGGTTGTGGTTTTTACATTAAGGCTGCATATGACAATGTTATGATCACTACCTGGGAACTTTTTTCCAATATACAAAGTATTGGGGATGAGGCCACTGGTAAAGACTAAGTCTAAGATGTTTTGATGTCTGGTAGGGCTATCGACATACTGAGTCCATTGTCCAAGCTCTAGACATTCAATAAATGATTCATAACGTCTCGGCGCTTTGACTGGCAGCCAAGAAATTTCGGGCATATTGAAGTCACCACAAATGAGCTTGCCTGTGAATGAGAGGGATGATGCTAGCGTGAATACCTCCGATAATACTGCTATTTCATCTATTGATGCGTTAGGTTGACGATAAACACAGCCGAGCAGTAAGGTAACGGAATTCGACGGCTTTAATACAATCCACACCGAATCCTTCAGTTTGTTTAGTTCAGGCATATCACATAGCAGTGAGTTCAGGCTAGAGTGAGCGTAAATAAGGCATCCTCCGCCTCGTCCATTCAATCTATCGCTTCTATATAGGGAATAGTTATCTAGAGATATGCTTCGGTCGGAAATATTACTGTTAGTCCATGCTTCAGATATCATAATAACTGATGGTTGATATATGGATACAAACAGGGCTAAATCCGTCTTTTTGTTGCAGATCGATCGAGCGTTGATAAGACATATATTAAGCAAGTGGCCCACTAAGTTAAAATGGGTGAGGGTATTTCGGATAAAGTCGTCGTAACCCTCGCGAGTGTAAGATGTGTTTGATGTGAGGGATTGGAAGTTCTTCATTAGCTCGGTATTTTGATAGTTAAACTTATTGGGAGATGTATCAAATGAGCTGGTGAAGTTGATTGGGGAGTTTACCCAGGAGGAAAGGGTGGGAGTACTCTGTGATGGAAACTGTACGGAGGAAACAAATTTATGTTTTGCATGTGGTTTGAAATAACCTGGGCTATATGCTTCAACAGAGGTGTTACTAGGGGTCTTATTCCAAAAAAATCTTGTACAGGCCTACTGTGAAGTGTATGGTTATTTACAAAATAGTCTTGATGGTTAGACTCGTAGCCCCTGTTATGGCTAATTACGTTAGCGCGAGAGGGGTCTGCTACGCGTAACTGGGAGGAGTTGCGACTATTGTTATACATGGGAGCCGTTGTTGTGTGATGGGTCGGTACTAAAGGGTATGAGAAGTTTTCTTTTTGAGAGTAATTACAGTTGCGATCCTGGGAAATGTAGGTAGGGTGTGGAGTGAGAAACCTATTATTACCATTTTTATTTATGGTTTTAGGCTTCAGGGGGTGATTTGGGTGGCCAGTTCTCTGGTATTTTTCGTTAGTCTGAGTGTAAGAAGGCTTGCTACGTTGAAGCCCACCACCCGTTTTGCAACTTGGAGGTGTTGAAGGCAAGTTATACGATAGCAGCGGGGAGAACCTGTTCACTGTTCTTGGGATACCTATAGAGCAGTTGGGTTCAATCTTACGTGTTTCCCTATTCGGTATCATGAGTTTTGTCTTCCCACCCTTTATTTTCAGAGCAGGATTCTTTCGTTGTCTTTGTGAGATGAACTTACGTTCATTCAAGTCTACTTGTGGAATGTCTTTAGGAGGACAAATTTTCAAGTGTATAGGTTTAGTTGCACATGTGTTGTTACACGACTCGCATTTTAGTACATTACTGAATGAACAGCTGGGATTAGTCATGTCGTTATGGCTTTTGGTGTCAGTTGGGGTCCGTATCTTATCCAAAGGTTTCTGATCTGTAGACTCATCTAGATCAACAGAGTGATCAGCCGTATGTGGGTTGGTGTCATGCTTAATGTTCGTGTGTTTTAAACTATTTGCTGTGTTGCAAACTGTCTCTGGCTGATTATTAACTGTAACACTCCCATTCAATTCTATCGCTTCACGTCTTCTTACACGACGTTGACAGGGCGTAAGGTCTGGAGTGACTTTTATATTTTTGTATGGAATTAGTGAGCTAATGTTTTTGCTCAAATCAATAAACTGCTTAGCATCGTTACAACAGCCAAACTTAAACAAGAGGGGGCAAGTTGATCTGTCTGACTTTTTTCTAAGGCGGATGACTTTGCAGTTAACGTTCGGAATACCGCATGCTCTAAGGCAAATATCTCTTAACTTAGATGGGTGTGTGCGGTCGGGGAGGTTATACACAACTGCATTGAAGGAGGACATTACTCTCTTCGTCACTTCTTCAGCCACAAACTCCAAAATACACTCAGCTTTAGTGAGTTGCTCAAGATTTCTGTCTGTATCAAGGCCCCATATATGAGTGAGGGGTGCTAATTGCTCAAGTTTGCCGTTAATTTCGGATAGAGAGTTTTGTAGCTGTCGGATGTCATTACTATATCTATCAGTATTTTGGTGCGTATGAGGTGGACCATTGGACTCTTTAGTTTTTGAAATTTTAGACTTAGGCCTTGGTAGCACATACTGTTTAGTAGATTGTGCTGACTTTTCAATGCACGTAGGTATAGTGTCTTGTATGTCAACCAGTCTTACCGTTGGCATACTGCACGTAAAGATAGAGGGGCTGCGACATGGAGAATCTGGTGACGATAGAGACATTTGTGTACAATGCACATATTTTTCAGTAGTTAAAGGTTCGACATTGTCAAGCACTGAGTCGTCAGTTGTAGGGGTTACAGATTTGGACCTTTTATTTGGCTTAGAAGTTGGTGAAAGTCCTCTTTTACTGGAGTTATTGGACATGATATGAATATAAGTGAGCACAGTTCTCGTTAAATTAAATATAATATCTGAGTATTAGTTGTTATTAAGTATTAACCTGGTTAATACTAGGATTAGAGACTGTGAGTATATAATAAATTGCAGACCTATTTACGACTTAAGTCCGCAATAGGTACAATACGAACTGATAATTGTCCGTCGAATAAAAATAGGTTTTTTCTTATGTTTCGAGGTGAGATGTTCCCGATGTACAGGATAGGATGATAATCACACTATAATACACCCTACAAAAGAGCAAGTCGAAGAATCCCTAAACCACGTGAAAAAAATGTTACCACTTTCAAAGTTCGCGGCACTCAAAAAAAAAAAAAAAGGCACTCGAATTTACATTTCAGTAGCATTATTTTGATGGACCATCGTTTACTGGCATCAAAGACTGTTGAAAGCGGACAGTTAATGAATGGTGTAGGTGTATAGCATAGAGAATAGTTTTGATAAGTGATATGTAGTTAATATTAACAGACTACTTTGAGAGCCATTCGATGTCCGTATCCGGCTCAACTCTGAGGAAACGGAAATACTGTGATTAGTCTTACTTTAAAGGTGGGAAACTGATAACTTGTACATCGATAAGTCAGTTATGAACGACCCAGAATTTGATAAATGTATCTGCGTCGCCACACTATGACTTTCAGCTAATTACCATTCCGTTAACTTCCTAGAAATGTCAGGGTTTTGGAAAAAGGCTATTGACGAAAACTAAGATAGAGCCAAACGACTTATAACCATTTGAATGTGGCGTTTATACCGGTTATACTTAGTTAACATTACAAACAGACGGTTGATCAATTAACTGATCATCGTCCATGAATTTTGCTGAAGTTCAATTATTTCCTAATAACATACAATGAAACGTTAGGGCAAAGTCCCCCATACAGAGTAAGAGATGAGTAAGAAATGAGGATACCAAGGGAATAATGCCTCCTAAGACATGGTTATGGGTTGACTCTGTGTTCATTTTATGACAATAAACTATCGAAACTGTTTGCACTACAGGTGTCCTTTATTTCAGCAGCACCTAATACATAATGGGGATCAGCGACCAGGACAGATACATGAAATATCAGCACTGTGTAGTGAACTTTGAAAATAATCATCAGGTAAGGAGTTGGATTGATCTCTGACTAGAAATATCACTCATAAACAAATGCATTGGCTCTTGATTAAAAATGGCAAATCGTGAGTTACAAATGCGTATCTGTTTAGGGAAGTAACTACTTTAATCATGCTCCAATCCATCAAGGCGTACTCTGAATCACCATTATGGCATTTTGAAATGAAAAACAATGTTTCATATATTTGTCGATATAATCTTATCTATTAATCTTAAACAAAAGCTCATCTTGCAATTTCAATCGCTAGAAAAACGGTGCACATAAAACTTTTATGGAAGTGACACCGATATTTCATAGGACGAATCAACAACCAATGACGAGAACAATCACGACGATTTGAAGTTTGATAAGTATTTTGCCTTCCTCACTGGATTCCATCAAGCAAATACTCATAAAATGCTAAACCAACTCGTTTAAGCTATATTTTAATGCAAAAAATCAAAAACCTACTTCTAGCATTTACTACAGCAAGAAATAATGACACCAAACAAACGCCAACTCTCATTTTGCCAATATTTAGACTACGCGCACTGATGAGGCAATGTCCAATGATTGAGATGAAGGATCTAAAGATACAAGTCGTTCCGTTTCACTTTGACAATATAGTTGAAAAGATGAATTCCTATGGTAGTTATAAAGGTTTATGACACTCAACTATTAAAGATATCTTCAATTTTTTATGAAACCAAAGGGAAGGTATGTAGTGAATTTATAGTTTACAGTTTACAGTTTGAGAAGGACAGGAGGCTCGGTGGCCTATGTTAGTCCTGGCAATGATGGTCTCTCAGTTGATCCAACTTTCTTTTGAAAGAGTCGACGGATAGAGCCTCAACCACGTGCTGAGGTAGTGAATTCCACTCGTTGATGATTCGATGGGAAAGTCGATAGTCAGCTGACAAGTAATTTGTTCTCGGCTTATGAACTTTTTTGGAGTGTCCTCGTAAATTCTCTGTTTTGAAAGACAAGAAAAATAAGGGCATATCAGGTGCAAATTTATCACTAAGCAATTTGTAGACTAATCAAGTCGCCTCTAGTTCTACGATATGACAACGGGAAAAGGTTCAGCTTGGCCAGTCGAGAATCACACGGAAGCTTCGGTACTCCGGGAATCAGCTTAGTCGCCGTTCTCTAAACCTTTTCCAGAAGCTCACTGTCTTTTTTTAAGCAGGGGCTAGCCGCTTGTATGCAGTACTCAAGTTAAGGACGAACGAACACAGTATACAAAGTCAAAAACGTTTTATCGTCGACATGACTAAAAGCTCTACGTATTGACCATAACGTTCTAAAAACTTTGGCGGCTATTGCATGGCAGTGTGCAGTAGTCTTTAAGTCTTGAATAACGATAACTCCTAAGTCATTATATGTCTGGACGACAGGTAGCTCAGTGTTATTCATCGTGTACGTATCTGTGCCTTGATGACCGATAGGAATCACAACACACTTGGAAGTATTTATCGGCAACTGCCATGTTTGAGACCATTCAGATAACTTCTTCAGGTCATTTTGAAGTTCTAAGCTATCACTCTTACATCGTATCGTTTTCCATATCTTGACATCGTCAGCATATAGCAAGACCGATGATGATAGGAGACAAGGAAGGTCATTTACATACAAGAGGAATAGCACTGGCCCCAAAACTGTACCCTGTGGCACTCCACTAAGCACAGTTTCCCAGATAGATAACTTTGAGTTCACCCTTACTCTTTGTTGACGCCCAACTAAGAAGTCTTTTATCCACATCAATAAATTGCCTCCAATCCCGACTTTTCTTAACTTATATAACAGCCGGTTGTGCGGAACTTTGTCAAAAGCTTTACTGAAATCAATGAAGGCGACGTCTAGAGGTAGCTTTTGGTCCCTAAGAGCACACCAGCTTTCACGAGCCACTAACAAGTTAGTGAGACAAGAATAACCTATTCTGAAGCCGTGCTGCTTCTCCGAGAGGATCCGGTTTTTATCGAGATACTTAAACAGCTCCTTCCGAATAATCTTTTCTAAGATTTTAACAACCACACTAGTTAGGCTAACGGGGCGGTAATTCTCAGGTTTGTGTTTCGTACCTGTTTTGAAAACAGGACTTACTATGGCGTTTTTCCAGTCTTTCGGTAAACGACCCTGCGTAACGGATAGGTTAAAGCATGTACTTAAAGGGCTTGCAACTAAGTTAGATAATTCCTTCAGTAGCCTAGGATGTAATTCATCGGGCCCCGTGGATTTATCTATTTCAAGTTTACTTAGCAGACCAAAGACATCGAGTTCTGTAATGGTCACGCTATCCAGTATATGTATGGGGGGATCTGTATACGCTGACGGGAAGGGTGCTTCTATGGTATATGGATTGCTAAAGTAGTTCGAGAACACTTGAGCCTTACCAAAGTCGTCCTCCACTAATGATGAAGCAGTACTGTCTCCCCATAGAGCAGGAATATTTCCTTTTCTCCTTGTCCTTTGGTTTATATAGGAATACAATAATTAATACCAATATTTATTATTGGAGTTCTTTTCCATTAGCTGTGATATTTTCTATGTAGAACCCGAAATAGTCTTATTGTAGCAACGCTAAATCCATTAGTAAGCCAAGAAATGTCTGAATATTTTGTCCCAAATATCTGGAAATTATGCAGTGTCGGTTACTATGTTAAGCCCACGTAACTTATTCTAGATTCAGAATAGCCTAATCATTTCATTGATCTTGAGTCAAATATTGGTTTTGGTAATTATTCTCTTATAAACCATGACTGTCTTTACGTAAGCGTATGTGTGCACTTCTTATCCTATTCATCACATGTCTGTGACTTATTTTTGCTGGACCATGAATATCGATTCACGCTTGGTTAAATCGAGCCGGATCATTCACCTTCTCGACTGTGTGTCGTAATGTTTTGTCCTCTTCTCTTTGCTTTCTTCGCTTCGTCTCCCATTGTCTGTTCTGATCAACGATTGTACGAAATATGTACTGACTCACTTTGATCACGAGAACACGACTGGTTTAATGAAAACAATCATTATTTTAACCAACTGTACCAGTGCTTGTTTTAACGTGCTTTTGTTTAGCTGTGCTAATTACGGCCATTTTGTGCTTCCATTACCTTCCATCATTGTTCCGCGGTTTTTAGCTTCGTTCGCACGTACTCCACTTTCCTGTTTTCGCTTGTACAATTTCTTGGCACGATCTTGGTATTCGTTCGATACCACGGGATCGCCAACCTTCGCCTTCTGATTTCTTTGGCACGTGTTTCTTGGTAGCGGTGTTCATAGTCAATTGGGACTCGACACCACGCTACAAATATACAAATTCAAACTTCATTTTCGCATTTGAATTATTTGATTCCGTTATTCACTAACGCCATTTTAGTCGATGATATATACGAGGATATTCAGGATGCATATTTTGGCAACGACCATTCATACGATCTAATATGGGTTAGCTTTTTGGCTATTAAAATTAACTTGCGTGTCACGGTCTTGCTTTGAAGGACAAATCCAGACAACACTGGGGTTAGTTAACAACACGTGGTTCATTTCGAACCTTTCGTGGGGGTTTATTTGCCACAACATTACCCACAACTACAAATGTTCAACCATTTTGTAATACCCTAAAATTAAGTCGTCTCCCTTTTATTATTGTTAATATTCGAATAAAATTCTATTCTTCCTGATGAATCGAAGATGCATATATCTGTAGTGGCATTGGACCATAACCACACAATCCGCAAACATCTAGCTCTATCTAAAAATAACGTGAATATACATCGACTAACAATGCAATCAAGGACTAGATAGTTATCTGGATCTAATTCTTATTGTTCCTTCACTTAACACATCATCCTGTTTTTAAACTATGCACTATCCTGTAATATCTTTCTTCTGACCACTGCCTGCCTAATTTCATATTTTCGAGTTCCATTGCCAAACAACAAGGATGACACTTCTCCAAAAACATACGGTGAGTTTCAGCTATAGGTTTTCTGCAATCATAAGGTCATTATAGATGGCTCGTTCAATAACAACCACACAATTATCTGGATTCATTCGATTGTTCTGATCCGAGCAAGTGGCAAAAACGTCAACAGCATCAAGCACCCTGGAAGTGATTGCCATACTGCATGTTTTATTCTGGATACATTCGGATCATTACTACTCCTCACGAATGACGTTATATATGTCGCCCACTGAATAATATAATTTTCAAAAATGATCCAGGCGAGTTTAACTAATTTAATGGACGATTTTTGTTTTGTACTTAACATGTATATGTTTTCCAGTTGCTTGTGCCATGTATTTGTAAGTGTCTTTAGGCTAAATGCAGGAATTTCTCATGGAAAGTTTATAACGTGTTACATTCCTGCCTGAAGTTTCATAAGCAGTCTTGACTTTAAAATTATTTTCTGGTCATGTTCATTATTTTTAAATTTTGATATATGTCAACAACCTGCATGTTAACCTGGCCCGTACATACGTTTTACTATATCTTCATATCTTTTGAATTTAGAAATCATCTGAATCGCCTTTAACATTTATCAATAAACCCATCATAGTCGTTGTTGCTAATCGTATTTGGGTTTATGGATTGGTTTATCGTATTGGCAGCCTAAAATGCGAACATAGTTCAGATAATAAGATTAAAAATTTAGGTGCTATCAACTATACTAATAAAATAACTAAATCCCTAGGTAGCTGTTGGCTAAACAAACGTTTAAAATCAAAACTCCGTAGCCTACTAGAATTAACACTAAACGAATCTTTCTGAATTAAAATTTATAATTAAATCAGGCGTCTCGGATTCTTTAACGTTACAAATTTCTGATAATTTCGAATCACCTAAAGCAACTATACCTATTTTTCCACTGACTAATCCTCATTCAACACTATAACTAGTCGAATTTAATAGTTTCAGGATATCGTCATAAAGCACTGTTGTAGTGGCTCACATTTATCACGAGAACACGACTGGTTTAATAAAAACAATTATTATTATGACCAACTGTACCAGTGTTTGTTCTAACGTGCTTTTGTTTGACTGTGCTAATGAGAGCTATTTTGTGCTTCCATTCTTTTACTTACACTTTGATTGTAACTTCGCGCGAATCCGGTTACCTTCTGTAACCAAGGTTGTATCCTGGCACGATCTCGGTATCCTTTCGATGCCACGAGATCGCCAGCTAATAAACCTCGACTTGGTCCATTAATTGCCTTCTGGTATTCGGCTTCTCGGGGATTTTATGGAGTCATTTGGAACGAGCTTCTTACGCCTTCTAATTAACTTGGCACGTGTTTCTTGGTAGCGGAGTTCATAGTTAACCTCAACTCGACGCCACGCTACACTGTCATGACTTGACAATCACGTAATATGATTGATAAAATTAATGAAATTATTAACAAAATTGGTCAGCAAATTGACTTATATTTATCACTAGTGTTGTTTTTCATTTATCTTCATTCACTACAGATGATTACAGTATGTTTCCCTATCAGATGCTCACTCAGTAAATATCTCGAAACCTT